ATATATATTGAAGGTGTATAAAACCAGAATGTGTTGTTGTTCAGCTGTCACTGATATAAAATTGAGTACTGATTTAATTTTTAGAATTCAAAATTTATCCCTTCCTTTTCCCTTATGAACTTTTCAAGAAAAAAAAGTGATATCTACTAGATTATCATTATCAAATTCTACTTTTTCTCCTTTTTATCTTTCACCCCAGATGATAAAGATATTTTACTTGGAATTCATCTGGGACAGTATAGTTGATTAAGCTCAAGTCTAATTGGTTTGCAGTCCCAGCAGAAACCAAAATTTAATGGCTATGTTTTTCCCATACTACATAATAAAAGAGTAATATTCAAATTAACCATCACTCCACTACACCCACGAGCCATGCCCACCAGCCAATCAGAGCGAGTGTGCAAATTAACCACAATCAAGATGGCTGCCACTAGAGAGAGTGGGAGGGAGGCTTGGGTTTCCCTGACAATGGAGGAAGCCAATCTTTCCACACACCCTGGCTGGCCCAGGCCTCCACTCAAGGATACAAAGTTTTAATTATATAAGATAAATCCCAAGAAAAATGGCAGCAGCCATAGAGCTGGAGAGAGCAGTCTAGGGTTGCCCCCAGTGACAGAGGATGCCAAGCTTTCTACCTGCCCTGGCTGGCCTAGGCCTCCATTCCAGGCAACAAAGTTTCAATTATAGAAGATAAATATATATCCCAGATACCAGGGCCTCAGCTTGGGTTGCTGAGTGTCATGGCTGGCCTGCAAACCACCACAAGCCCCTCGAACAGGCTATCCCATGCCCCAAGGGAATCCCCGCCCTGATCCTTCAGGACAAACCAGCTGGCCCCCACCCATGCACAAGGCATCTATCCTATCTAATAAAAGAATAATATGCAGATTGACTATCACTCCAACACACAAGATCAAGACAGCTGCCTCCATATAGCCAAAGATCCTGCCCCCATATGGACACAAGATGGCCACCATAAGATGGCCAGCAGGGGAGATAGTTGGGGGGGGGGGGGTACCAGGACTACAAGGGAGGGCACTTGGGGGCAACCAAGCCTGTAGAGGAGAGCAGTTAGGGAATACCAGGCTGGCAGAGGAGGGAAGTTGGGGGCAAACAGGCTGTCAGGGAGGCAGTTAGACATCAATCAGGCTGGAAGAGGAGTGGTTAGGGGGTGATCAGTCTAGCAGACAGAAGTGGTTAGGGGCAATCAGGAAGACAGGCAGGCGAGCAGTGGGGAGCCAGCCATCCTCGATTGTGAGGGGATGTCCGACTGCCCTATATAGGCAGTGGGATATCCCTCGAGGGGTGCTAGATTAGAGATAATGCAGGCTGGGCTGAGGGACAACCCCCATGCACGAATTTCATGCACCAGGCCTTTAGTAGTAAATAAACTTCTATGATTTATAGTCTCAGAGAAGAGAATTCTGTAGATTAAGAAAATCTTGTTATTGACAGTAAAGAATGGAATATAAGAATTATAACTTAAATGTCAAAGTTAAAATTTTCTCTCTGAACTTTTTAAAATACAGGAATTCTCTATACTATTTTTTTAAAATGCCAATATTTAATATAATGGGGTAAACATTTTTAAAAAATTTAAAATCTATCAATGATTTGAAGGAAGAACATAGGTTTTCTTTCTTTTAATTTTTAAATTTTATTTTATTATACTATATATTTTTAATTTTTATTGAACTCATTAGGGTGACATTGATTAATAGATTGTAAAAGTTTCAGGTGTATAATTCTATTGTATTGTGTTCATCATCCAAAGTCAAATCTCCTTCCATCACCCTTACCCCAAATTCAGAGACAGTATTGTGATTTTAAAGTAACTAGAGGCCCAGTGCATTCGGAGGGGGATCCCTCAGCCCAGACTATGCCCTCTCCCAGTCTGGGAGCCCTGGGGAATTGGCCTGTGCCATCAGTCGGACAACCTTAGTGCTGCCACAGCGGCAGAAGAGGCTTCCACCACCACTGCTTCACTAGTCAGCCATGAGCCTGGCTTTTGGATGAGCAGTGCTCCCCCTGTGGGAGCACAATGACCTCCAGGGACCAGATCCTACATTGAGCATCTGTCCCCTAGTGGTCAGTGCATGTCATAGCAACTGGTTGTTCTGCTGTGTAGTCGATTTGCATATTAGCCTTTTATTATCTATCTATCTATCTATCTATCTATCTATCTATCTACCTATCATCTAAAAACCTAAGCAACCATTGCAACTGAATGGATGACTGAACAAGCTGCATCAGGTAATTAGGTCTGCAGGGAGGTTAATGAGGGGAAACCAAATGATCAAGCAGCAGGCTGCTTGGGGTGACCAGGCAAGCAATGGGGGGCTGTGAGGGGTGACCAGGCTGGCAGGGCGGCGCTGTTTGAAGGCAACCAGGCAGTGCAGGGTGCAGTTAGGGATGACCAGGCCAGTGGAGGTGGCATTTGGGGGTGACCAGGCTGGCAGGAGGAGCAGCAAGGGTGATCAGGGCAGTTTGGGGTGAGTAGGCTGTCAGGGGTTCTGTTGAGGGTGACCAGGCCAGCAGGGGTGGGGCAGTTAAGGGCGATCTGAGAGGCAGGCAGGTGAACAGTTAGGATCCAGCAGTCTCTGATCGTGAGAGGGTTGTTCGACTGCTGGTTTAGGCCCAATCTCCAGGATTGTGCCTAAACCAGATGTTGGACATTCCTCAAGGGGTCCCAGATTGGAGAGGGTACAGGCAGGGCTGAGGGGAAAACCCCCTACACACACACACACACACACACACACACACACACACACATTCCATGCACGAATTTTATGCCCTGGGCCTCTAGTATAGGATAATGTCTTATTATGGGAAAGGCCTCTAATTCATTTTTTTTTTTTTTTTTAGGTAAAGGGAGGGCAGTATTTTCACTTGAGCCTGAAGCTAAAATTGCCCTTAGCTCAAAAATCTGCATACAACTGAGATACAACTTGGTGAGGTTCATTCTGAACCTCCACAGTGTTCTATTATGTGTATAAGTATTGGGAACCATCTTATTTCTTTAGTGAAAGGAACCTTTTGTTATGTTACAATGACTAACTTTATCTCATGAGTTGTGTATTGGCTTCAAGCCTGTATCAAGTATTTATGCAGCAACTTCAGCTCTTCTGTTCAATATTTACCTGGCATATTTTTTTATTTTATTTTCTCTAAATATTTTTAGATTTTTATGTATTAGATAGGAATAGCCCATGGACACAGAAAATAGTCTGGTGAAGGCCTGGAAGGGGCGGGTGCAGGGTGAAGGAAATCAATGGGAAACAAAAAAATTAAAACAAAGGCATACCTGAATACTTTCCAGAATAATGATACATTTTAAATAAAGGAAAATAACTTAGTTGGAAGAGTTTTATGTGAAATAATGTAAGTAATTGCTCTACATTGTACTGTATATTCTTGATTCCTCTCAAAGAGATATTATTGTAATTGACCCTATGTTCACTTAATATTAATTGAACCTATGTTCACTGACTGCAGGACTGACTTTTGCCCTGCTGACCCAGCACTGACTGCCACGAAGGCTGCTATCAGGCCCTGGTTTTTTCTCCCTGCCTCTGTCTGGGCCTGATAGCAGTCTCCTTGGCAGTCAGTGCTGGGTTGTCCTGGTGACTTCGGTGTTCAATGGACCCTTCAGTCATTTTGGATCTTATGGACCCTGGCTCGTTATATATATAGATTAGAGCTATCCAGTTTGACTAGGTTCTCTATGATTTCAAATTAAAAGCCAAATAAGTGGATTTTAAAATACTTTTAATGACAAAATTCTAATTATGAGAAGTTAGCTTCTATTTGTACTCAAAGCTTGATCTTTGGATTGGAAAGGTACTGACCAATATGGCATAATAAATTACATCATTCCATTTCCATTTCAGGGGTACATTAAGTATCCGCTATAAAACAAATCCCCACCATCACCTCCTTTTTGAGCGTGGTGACAAAATTATTTATACTTCTAAAAACTTCATATAATTTTGTCTTCATTGAAATTACCTAAAATCAAATTAGAAATTTTCTAGTCACGATATAGACTAGATATTTGTTCTCTTAAATCATTTATGGCTAAAGCTCAGTGTAGTAAAAAAGATGAGTAGCCGGATTTTCCCTTCTTAAGGCAGGGAGCTAACATGAAATTGCAGACAGATGTGAAGCCCAGGAGCAAATGGTAAAAAGCTTCTTTAAGTTCAATTAGCTATAAACTCAGAGCACTATCATGAAATTTACTCAAAATGTAGTAAGATATATATATAATAAAAAAAAAAAATTTAGAAGTTGAATATATCACCAAACCCTGAATTCAAGTATTTTCATTATTTTGTCAAAGGTAAGCTAATTTGTGAATAAAATGTGTATTTTAAAATCATAAGAATTAGCCTCATTTAAAAAGGAAGACATTAAGATTTCATTATACTGCAGGAATTAAATCTTTTACTTATTTCAATAAACTCTAGACTCCCAAATTTTATATACTTAAAAATTTGAAGTATATAAATCATGGATGGCATTTGTCTTAATCAACATAATTACAATTGAAGACCATTATTTTTAAATACATTTTTATTGGTTTCAGGGAGGAAATAAGAGGGAGAGAGAGATAGAAACATCAATGATGAGAAAGACTCATTGATTGACTGCCTCCTGTACACCCCCTACTGGAGATTAAGTCCCCAATCTGCACATGTGCCCCAACCAGGAATCCAATTTTGACCTCCTTGACTTTTTGGTTCATATATAGATACTCAACACTGAGCCACAGGGGCAGGGCTGAAACCATTCTTTATGACTACTTCCAATACAATCCACACAGGACACACAATCAATCAAAAGAAGAAATAGGACAAGAATCCAGGACTCCATATTTCTCAGCATAAAACCTTTCTTATTTTTTTCTGTGCAGACAATGGTTGGAAATAGATTTACTTCACACCGGATGGCAACACACAAAAACTGAACTCTAATATGTTTGTTTGTTTTTCTTATTTCAGGGGCTGATGTTATCAACTTTGATGGCCATGTTGTGTTGCCATATAGATTCAGAAACAAGAAGATGAAAACACTGAAAGATGTCATTGCCTTGAAATTTAAAACCACTGAGAGTGAAGGGGTGATCTTACATGGGGAAGGACAGCAAGGTGATTACATTACATTGGAACTGAAAAAAGCCAAATTGGTCTTCAGTTTAAACCTAGGTATGTTTCAACTTTTGGCATCATTCTTTCCATGTATTAATATTTTCATTAGAGAAGTATTAATGTTATTTAACCCTTAAAATGTAAATTATAAAAAATGTTTACATTGTTATCAGTTCAGTTTATCCCACAGTGGTTTCTACAGTATATATTGATGTATTGATATACTTATTTATTAAAAATATATATGCAAAACACCTGTAGTATTATACAATGTGTACATTAGCATCTGAATACATTGGTGAATAAATAGAGAAGGACCTTGGGTTCAAAAAATGTATGACCTGGTGGAGGAGTAAGATAGTGTCTTGTGTGTTATTATCTTAAAATAACTAAATCACAATAAATGATGTCAAATAATAAGTATAATTGACCTTTGAACTACATATAAACCTTCCCTCAGTAGAAAACTCACATGTAACTTTTGACTAAAGTCAGTTCTTTGCATAGGCAAATTCAACCAACTATGGATTAAAAAAAGTATTTTCTATTGGAGGTTGGGAATCTGAGGTAAGGAATCTGAGGTTGGAATCTTATGTTAGAATGCTAAAATCTGTTTTTTATTCATGATTGGTTGAGTCCAGCATACAAAGAGTTGATTGCATTGAATGAGTAAAAACTTCATATAAGTGAGCCCACCGAGTTTAACCATAGTATGAAATCAATTAAATGGGCTAATATAATACTGCAGAGATAAGAGGGATCAATATTAGAATATGAAGTGAGAAAGGTCCTCTATAAGATGTTCAAGTTGCTGTCAGGGACAAGGGGAAGAGCTTTTAAAGTAAGCATTCACTACAGACAGAGCCCTTCCTTGCTGTTCCTTAAGCAAGGAAGAGGGTGTAGAGGCAGTGAGTAATTGAGAGAGACGATGAAATCTGAAAGTTAGGAATTGTTCAAATCCTGTCAGAACCTGTTGAGCAGGGGTGTGGGACCGTTTTTCTACCAAGGGTTATTTGGATATTTATAACATTATTTGCAGGCCATACAAATTAATCAACTTAAAAATTAGTCTGCTATATTTGGAGGGGGAAATTAAACTAACTCATACCTAATGTATTGACAGGGATAGACTAAATGATTTAACAGGCCTTATGCAGCCCATGAGAGGAACATTCTCCACCCCTGCTGTAGAGCATGGCACAGGGTTAGGTACTTTTTTAAACATGGGATGTTTACTGAGACCTCTATAAAGATAATGGTTCCATCCGCATGAGAGTTGAAGATGGACTCCTCGGGTACAAGACGAGCTGGCTCTGTTTTTCAGAAGGTGGCTGTCAGTGGAGATGCTGAAAAATAGGTCTACTGTGGAGATGATTTTAGTGGCATTTTCAGCATGATTTGTAATGAATTGGGTGTTTAGTAAGAAAGGAAGAGATTAAGTAAAAGGTAATTTCTAGGATACAACTTTGGTGCCAATAGATGTTAAGTGCCATTTTCAGAACTAGAGAAAGCTCTATTTTCTCTGTAGAGGAACATTAGTTTAGAGGATCATTAGTTTCCTAGACATTTCCTCTAGGAACTACGGAGCAGAGTTCTGTTTGGACAGGGTGCATTTTAATTTCTGATTGATCATCATCAAAGTTGAGATTTCTCTTAGAGTGACATGCCTGAGATTGAGAGGAGAAGGTGCTGTTTGGAGACTAAGTCGGGGGCAATGGATAGGAAGAAATAAGAATATGTGATGTTAGAGACAAAGAAAAGAAAATTGGTGCTTACTGTGTTGAAGTCTCTTAAAATGTCACATAAGAAGACAGAAAGGGGAGGTTACTGCTTAGCAATATAGAGGTTACTGGTGATTTACTATCAGAATAATATGGATGTAATATAAAAAAATGACTAAAAAGAAATAGACCACACTCTTTACAAAAGTGGACATAAGTGCTAATGTTTTACATATAAATTATTCACAGTATTCTCTACTCTTACTATTGAACATGTATCTGTGTGTTACCAAGGGGAAAATTTAGTCCTAAATAATTTTTGAAACAGGTTCAATAGGAGTTAAGAAGACAATATACAAATGACGTATCAGAGAGAATTATACATTTGAAACATATAATTTTGATGGAAAAAATTAAGTTAATAAGGAGGAAATTAGGAGAGAAACCCAGGGGGGGAAAAGTGAGTTATTTTTAAAATATATATACACACATAGCAACTGGATTATATCTTTAAAAGTTTATAGTTTTCACACTTTTCTCTTAAAAATGTGAAATATACAGAGCCACTATGCTTTTATAAAGGTGTGACATTACATTACTGTTCTGAAACAAGTAATTGCTCATATGACACACACTCTCTCTCTCTCTCTCTCACACACACACACACACACACACACACACACACACACACACACTCTGCCCTAGAGAGCAGTTTACTTAAGGGCTTTTATTGACTGACTGAAGTTTATGGCTGCCATGGAAACAGTCACTCATGCACTGTCCCTTTTTAAGGCCATTACCTAAATGTCAGGTACATCAGGAACATCTGCTGCTTAGTCTTCTAGTCTAACTACTTAAATAAAACTTAATGTAGCCTTTCACCTGAATTATTATTTCTTTTCTTCTCCCTTCCTCCTCCACATACACCCACAATCATCATATTTGATTTCATGACTAAAGAAAGAAATTTGATCTAGGAAATCCACAAAAAATGTCAGATATAGGTATCATTAGCATCTTAAATATGGGGAAAGGGGGACATAATTATTCATGCATTTCTGTGTTTTTCTTATTTTATTATTTTCATTCTGAAACAATATTATATTTTATAGATTTTATTTTCACCCTACCATTAAAAGTAATATTTCATTAGATAAAATAGAAAGTGTATAAAGTACATACACAGCATCTCCAGATGATCTTAGTAAACATTTTGAATTCTCACAGCCTTTCTCTCTTATTTGTAGTCTTATTTCTATGGATATCTTATTTCAAAACTAGCTTAAAGCTACATATATATTTTTGCAGGTTGTTATTTTAAAGTATAACTTCTACACTTTTCCATGTCACTAAATATTACATTGTGCTTAAAGTTATGGTATTTAGATTCAGAGGAAATTGACAATTGTCATGATGCATGTTCTTGACAAAAAATAACCACACTATCCTCAGTAATAATAGACTGTTAACAGGTACTATTTAATGAATATTTACCAAAGGCCAGGAAGTATGCTAGGGATTTGCATGCACTAAGTAATGTAATCCTCACAGCAACCTTGTAAAGCAGGTACTATTATTTTCCCTTTTTTACATCTGAAGAAACAAAAGACCCAGAGAAGTTGTCAACTTGCCCAGCATCATTGAACAGCAGAAGCTGGGCCCTTTGGCCTCAGAGCTCATGGGACACTGACTTCAACAGGAACCACATTTTTTAAACTCATTATTTTTAAGGGAACAGATATTTTCATCTTTATTAGCTTTTATGAACTTTGAACATAAACCTTTTTGTATAGTCACATGCTGGTTTTCCTTATAGCAACTCCAGTAGACAAAGCATCAACCCATAGTGGGTGTTTTCTCTTTTTTTCTTCCTTTCTTCCTTCCTTCCTTCCTCCCTCCCTCCCTCCCTCCCTCCCTCCCTCCCTCCCTCCCTCCCTCCCTCCTCCTTCCTCCCTCCCTTCCTTCCTTCCTTCCTTCCTTCCTTCCTTCCTTTCTTTCTTTCTTTTGTGTGTGTGTGTGTGTTTTAATTTATTTTTATTGTTGAGTCTTACAGATGTTCCTCATTCCTCCTTCTCCCTCATGTTAGCCCCCCTCCACTGAGCTCCCGCCCCGCCCAGTCCTTCATGACACAATTGTTGGTCTCCATGAGCTATGCATATATGCATATACTAAATTCTTTGGTTAATCTCTTCCCAATCCCCCTTCCTCCTCCCTTCCCTATGGATCTGTGAGCCTGATCCATGTTTCCATGTCTCTGAACCTATTTTGTTCATCAGTTTATTTTGTTAATTAGATTCCACATACATAAGTAAAATCATATGGTATCTGTCTTTCTCTGACTGGCTTATTTCACTTAACATATAATCATCTCCAGGTCCATCCATGCTGTCGCAAAGGGCAAGAGAACCTTCATTTTTTACAGCTGCAGAATATTCCACGGTGTAAATATTCCACGGTGTAAATGCACCACAGCTTTTTTATCCATTCATCTGCTGATGGGCACTAGAGCCATTAGTGTTTCAATGAAATGCCTTCTTCTACCCAGAGCCATGGTGTCATCACTTTATTTCTTTTCCACTCCCATGGTGCAGGAAGCAACCAGCTTGGCCCCATCTATGGCCACACGTCCGTGATGATGGGGAGCCTGCTGGATGATCACCACTGGCACTCCGTGGTCATTGAGCGCCAGGGCCGGAGCATTGACCTCACGCTGGACAGGAGCGTGCAGCACTTCCGCACCAACGGGGAGTTCGACTACCTGGACTTAGACTACGAGGTGAGCTTGAGGACATACAAACTGTGGTCAATGTCGAGTGGCTGCCTCAATCTCCCACTTGTATTATTGTTAATTATGTGCCTTCCTGCACCATTTTCATTTTATTCTCCACAGAAAAATCAACTTATAATTTCAATTAGGTTATCAATATGTCATTTTATTCTTTTATAAACTTCAAATCATAAATATTTGAAATATTTTTAATATCTTGGTGCCAAAGTAACAATTTGAAGAGAAAGAACGTCTATCATGTTATCAGGATTATTTAATAAATCCTGAATAAATTTGTTATAATCTTTCCATTTCTCATTCATTGTAATATAAATTACACTATTTTACTTCATCATACACAGTATTATAAATGAAGAGTTGCCTAATATTTATTACAAAATATTAAATAAGAAACCCTGAGTTCTGATTTATAGTAGGCCATTTATAAACTTATAACTATTAATAGTTCTTTTTGACAAGTTCGACTTTCTCAGATATAATTGTCACTAAAGGAGTTAAAATAGATAGTATTTTAAAGAAATTATCCTTAAATAAAAAAGGCTATTTCTTATCCTCCAAATGATCAAAGATTAAGGAAGCTATGATATTGGTCCAGTAAAATATTCAGGTAGGCATATTAGGTATTTTAATGAATTATTTGCAGAGCAATTCAACCTTTAAATGTCCATTAAAAAAGTTAATCATTTATAGTAACAAGAATTCTGTGATAACATAATAATCACAGCATAATGTATACCAAGAAAAAAGGGATAATGCTAAATGAACAAGCAACGCATAGCAGTAAAATGAACAGGATGAAATATTAATCAGCCAGAGGTTTATGAACTCATGAATTCATGGAACTCTTGATGTCTTATTAACTTTCCACAGCCATCTTAGACTCTTCTATAGTGGTTAGACCCAAACAACGTAATAAACGTTTATTCCCTAAGAACTCAGTAGCCATGTGAAAAACAAAATACACATAAAATGAAAGGGCAAATTTTAATTTTATTTTATTCCTATGATAGTAATTATTTACTAACAGGCTGTGTGCACCTGCACCGGGCAACTCCCCAGACTTTGGAATCAGAATTGACACTGACTTTGTGTTCACTTTACACGTGACACTGATTTTATCAGCACAACTTCAACAGGACAGGACATCGTCAAAAGCAAAGTAGCAGGATGTTGGAGCAGTGAATCATGTATGTCAGTTATACTTCATTAGACTACACATTAAAAAAAAAAACACCCTATGTTTATTCTCTTTCATACAAAAGGAGCCCCTAGGCAGGTAGCCCTGTGTGCAAATGGCAGCATCATGGTCATCAAGACCCCCATCTCTCTCTCCTCTTGCTAGTCCATCCCCACTGCAGAAGACTCCAAGGTTGCTATTAATTCCATGTTGCTTTCTAGCCCATGGGGAGGAGAGAGAGGGAAGAAAAGTCATTCTAACTTTAGTCTTGGAGTCCCACACAGACCTTTCATTTAAATCTCATGAAACCAAAACTTTCTTCAAAGAGGTTGGTAAAGGCTATAATTGGATAGGGAACAATGTGTAGAACTGAAAAGCATTTTTTTTCCTCTAAAGAAGTTTTGGGAGAAAGGACACTTAGAGGTATATTATAGTCTTCCACACTTTATAAATCTTGGTAGCTAATAAGATGGTTAATGCAACTATATTTCAGGGTTATCATTGAATGGCAATATCAGTAATAAGTCAATCTTATGAGTCATGAACCATTTTCAATATCAGAATAGTTACAGTTTCAGAAAGTATTTTGTGGCCCAGCCACTTCATTTTACTGATGAGAATACAAAACCAGAAATAAGTGATTAGTTACATTCTCACATTATTAGTTGCATTAGGAACTGGGATTGGAACCCACATCTCTCAGTTGTAAGGAGCCTGGTAAATAGAGCCCATGATGCTTCCTTCACCTGAGCACCTTCCATGAGGTGGGATGTGTGCCAAGGGTTGCTGAAAGCAGAGAAGCGAGGAGTGTTTGAATCAGCCTCCCCAAGGAAAATGAAAAGCCATAGATAAGCTATACACAAAGAGAAGGAATCAAACACCACTTACAAACTTGAATTTAAGTATATTTCAATAGGTAATATTTTGTTGAGGATTTCAGCATCTATGATCATCAGGCCTATTATATATTTTTCTTTGTAGTATCTTTATCTCCTGTATGAATTAGGGTAATGTGGCCTCATAAAAATGAGCTTGAGAGTCCTTCCTCTTAAAATTTTGGAATAGTTTGAAGAGGATTGGTGTTATTTTTTTATGAATGTTTCATAAAATCCATCCCTGATTGTAGTATTTCTTGAAATGAGCTGCATTCCTAGCTTTGAATTCATAGAGTATTTCAAATCTTTATAATAAAGTGTTCTCTTTTGCCTAAGCTAGAAGAAATGTGATACTGCATGTCATTAAGCATAAATTATTTTATTACTATCAACTTGGAAATAAATTGATAAAATAAATTATAGATAGGAAATTAAATCCTTCTTTAAAGTATCAATAATCCTTACCTTTGGTGTTAGGTAAACTTATACATACCTAATAAGTTCAATTCAATGCAATTTAAAAATATTGTTTTACAATAATTCTATGATCTTGGCTATTCTCAGTTTTTCCTTTTGTAATTTTCTAATTTTTAAATATATTCTAAGCTTTTCTCTTTTCTTCCTATATATAAACTTTATGGTAAATGATATATAGCTAACCATTATTTTTTAAATTTATTAAGTGAATTATTCTAAATTTCATAAGCCATCAATGATTTGTGGTTTATGATATAATATAAATCTAATTAGACATTTAAAATGACATGTTGTTAAATAATGGAACATAATTTTCTAAAGACCTCCTAGCACATAAAGATCTTTGGCTTGTATATCAAATATGAAGTCTTGACATTTAAAAACTTTTGCTTTCAAAACTTTGTAAGAAAAATTGATAATGATAACAGTGAGTGATAATTAAACATAATATCTATATTATATATCATGATATTACATCTATGATTAGTAGACTCATTTACTACTGATTAATTATTAGCAATGCATAAGTGAGTCTAATTTTTATTCCATGATAATGATATTACAGTGCTGTAATTTGATCAAAGATATATGGAAAACAAATCATCTTTTTTATAGGTAATAATAGCTAGAGATTCACAGGAAGACATAGTGACCTTCTTCCTTATAATTTAAAAGACCTATAATATTTATAAGCCTGCACTTCTCAAGTTACAGCCCCCAAATTCTAAGATGTTCCTACTCAATGTAGTAATGAGACTTCCTGAACTATTTTCTCTATTCACCGTAAGTCTAATGAATGTTTGACTTTAATGGACAATAGACTACAATAAGTTTATGTCAGGTAAATACAATATTCCTTGCTGTTGGCTGCAGTTTTATCAACACTTATATATTAGTGTTGATTATCTCATGATGACTAGAGGCATTTATTGATGGTGTATCTTTGAAGGATAAACATAAAAATGTATTTTTAATATTACTTAATATGTTTGCTTTGTAAAGTGTTTTAAAACATTCTCAGGATAAATTATAAAATGCCTTTTGAGTAGCAAAAACTCAAGGAATTGTTGTTATTTTCTTGCTCAAGTTATAATCTAATTGTCAGAATTAACACTATTGTGCACTTCAATAACAAAAAAAATAAAATATAATAGATTTTGGACGCAGAAAAATGTCTGTATATATTGGTTGATGTAAATATAACCAACCTCGCCCATATTGATTGTTCTGTCTCATTAAATGTGAATGTTATTTTTTAAAATTCAGATACAGTGTGAATGTTTTATTGTTGTTTATTTCTCAAAGATCACCTTTGGAGGCATACCTTTCTCTGGTAAGCCAAGTTCCAGCAGTAGAAAGAATTTCAAAGGTTGCATGGAAAGCATTAACTACAATGGCATCAACATAACTGATCTTGCAAGAAGGAAGAAACTGGAGCCTTCAAATGTGGTAAGATCTTTTACCCCAGAAATATTGGTTCATAGAAAAATCACAGAACTTGTATTTTCTATGGACTATTGGATAACAATATCATAGCATTTTTTTTAATCATACTTACATTGGGCTCAACTGTATAGAACTGACTTTAGAATTACCAATGTGTAGATCCTGGAAGTACTCTAGGTTTTGAGATCAATTAGCTGGCAATAGATGGTAGGTTTTATTGGTAAAAGTAAACATGTAAAAATAATCATCAGTGAAGGTACACAACAAATTTAACTTTTATATTAATTTAGAGAGAGTCTGCAATAGATTTAATAGTTCACGTGCTGGAGTGAAAGAACTATGCAACTTGAGGTAGATAATGGTGTTGTGTAAAAAATATTGAAGGGCCAGTTAAAAATATAAAGTCATATTCCTCTGAATATTATGGTGGGAGCAAAGAAGCTGAAAACAAATGTAGATTTTCAGATCTTTAAAAGGAAGGTACTTAGACCCTAGAATATAAAATTTAGTGTATACCAAAATAAAATTCAGTATATAAAATTTGTGTGTATAAAATATGGGGAGTATGAGACAGAAGGAATGGTTTTCCAATTTCTGCTTTAATTTTGTACACTCATGTCACTGTTTCCATAAGCATTAATTTATTATTATTTAAGCACAGTTCATGGAAATTTCAGTGGGATTTTGAGGTGAATAAAAACTTCTGAAATAATCAAAATTATGCTAATACTAAATAATTAAAATTATACATAAATATGGGTATAAACCCAAGATCATTTGTTCCAGAATATCAGTTTAATAAATAGCAAGCAAAGGACCATGATTCCCACTGAGACCAGAGTAATATAATAATAACCATCTGAATAGGATATCCAGAAGAAGACAGAGGCATCCCCTCTCCAGCTGATGCATAATTACCCTGTTTCCCCGAAAATAAGACAGTGTCTTATATTAATTTTTGCTCTCAAAGATGCTCTAGGTCTTATTTTCAGGGGATGTGTTATTTTTCCATGAAGAAGAATACAGTACACATTTATTGTTAAATGAAAATAAAGGAAATTTATTATCTGTATAAGGTATGGTAGTACGGTAGTTGTCAACACAAACCAGACAAACTGTGAATCCTACAGTATCAAGAATTTACTCATTTATTCAATGACAATCATGTCATCATCTTCTGGAACATCATCATAACAATCCAATTCCTGAATTTCCTGGTGAATTTCTTGTGACTCCATTTCTTTCAGAATCAGTGGACCAAATCTCTCATGTTTAGCTTAGGGGGGCCTTCTTTTGGGGGGATGTCTTATATTTCACTCAGAAGGAAACCTGTAAGTAGGTCTTATTTTCAGAGGATGTCTTATTTTCGGGGAAACACAGTAGTTAGGGGGAAAAAGCAGCTTTTGGCTGTCTTCAGAGGATCCAGTGGTCCACTCCGAAGCTCTCAGAGATGCTCAGCCCACCCCTGGCCAGTCCATCACAGGCTGCCCATCAATTTCATGTGGATTGTGCTTGTTACATCCAAACTTGATGGCTAACTTCTACCCCTAGTTAGGCCTACTGTTACACTCCAAGTAGACTCATGTCAAGGTATCCGATTGCTAAATCCAACTCAGCCTACTACAATACATGTGATAGTTTGGGACAGGCTAAAGCTCTGCTTTGAAATATGTAAAATTAGAGCTTTGTCTACTGTCTTCCATGGATCTTTATTTTATTGTGCCTTTTCCTCAAAGAACGCCCTTCTGTTTTACAGGGAAACCTGAGTTTCTCCTGTGTGGAGCCTTACACGGTGCCCGTCTTTTTCAATGCCACCAGTTACCTGGAGGTGCCTGGGCGGCTCCACCAGGACCTGTTTGTGGTCAGTTTCCAGTTCAGGACTTGGAACCCCAACGGCCTCCTGCTCTTCAGTCACTTTGCAGACAACTTGGGCAACGTGGAGATTGACCTCACCGAAAGCAAAGTTGGTGTTCACATCAATGTCACACAGACCAAGATGAGCCAAATAGACATTTCCTCAGGTCAGTGAAATCTCCTGATGTTTGCTCCTGAAACTGCTGAAGCGATCTCTGCAGATAAAGTTGCATTGGTTTGGTTTGGTTTGGTTTGGTTTGGTTTGGTTTGCTTGGTTTGGTTTGGTTTAGTTTGGTTTGGTTTGGTTTGGTTTGGTTTGCTTGGTGTTACATGCTTGTGGTTATATTTGGATCCAGACTTTGAGATTCTTTCTTGGGTGCCTTGAGTGCTGATTGAATAAGGGAGACTTGAACCTTACTGAGAAAGTGAGGTGTGGACAAAGAGAAAAGTTGGTTGGGGCTGTCTTAGGGTACCAAAATCTTCTATTTCTTATAAATGCTAATTCCTATTTAATGTAGAAATTGAGACTTCTTTAAGTGACTATTTTATCTTTAAAAACAAAGAATGTTTATTTTACTGATGTATTGATAATAATACCTGGTATCTTTGGAATTCATGGTCATTCAGATATTTTTACAATTAGTAATGGCATTATAATAATCCAATTATGGCTTCAAAGGTCTGTTACCTGAACAGACAGACGTAGTGACGTTGGAATATTCTTTGAGTAATGTGGTACAAAGAAAGTTGAAATTGCAAAGTGAGATATTCTAAACAAAGAAAAATTCGACATGTTATGTAACGGTTAAGCAGTAAAATGTTCACACAGTTTCACTAGATGTTTCTAGCAGTGGTTGTGTTTATTTTGTAAAGGACTCCTTAGAAGACAGAAAAAACTAATGTTTCTGAGCATCTTGGACAGAGATGTAGAAACACAGAGAGGAGGTTTGTGACCAAGTGCTCAGCTGCATGACTGCTGGCCCTCCGGCTAGGCTTCCCAGGTTCACTGGTGACGCCATATGCATACCCCTGACACTGTTCCTAACAGGTCATACTATGTGTTCATCTCATTCCCCCTCTATGTGGTCAGATCTTTTAGGGCAGTAGACAGGCCTGTTCTATCTCTGACATATAGAACAGCACTTATGACACAAAAGGTGTCCTGGGAATGTTTGTCAAGGTCAGCACAGTGGTCATTTGATCCAGTTTTCACTATGTATGTTTTTTTGTTTGTTTGTTTGTTTTGTTTTTTGGTAAATAGGCTTTTTTTGTTTCTATATGGACTGTTGCTGAAAAGCATTGAAGGAAGACATAGTGACCATTCTGTAAGAGATGTTTTTGAAATCCTAGGCTGGTGTGAACTACCTAGATGTTTACTTTTTCAGTTTTTGCTTTGTTAGTTGTGCTTTTCCCCCAGAATGTTCCAAGTCAAAATGATTGATCAACCATATTTTATCACTACTTCCCAGTACAAATTCACTTGGGGAGATTTAGTAAATAGAAAATATCTGGAGAGATCAGTATAGCACATAAAACAAATACACATATAAATATTTACCACAGATGGAACACTCACTAAATCGTGTCATGATTCATGGTTCTTTTCTAGTGAAGAACCATAAAAATATGTGGCAAGGCCTCCCTCCTGGAGTGCTCTTAACAAATCCAACTTCCTGAGATCATTATAATGGAAAGAATAAGACCCTAAACATAGTGATCAGCTAACAGTTACTAATTGAATTTGTCTAATTTAGGACTCTCTGATACTCTCATCTAATTTAAACTGTGTTTATTAAAAAAAATAAAGAATAAAGAAATCAAACACTTAACAGCTAATATACTTTAATAGATTTGCTTAAGTGTGATAAAATTGGACTTTAGAAATCTGTGTCATTTAGCTAATTATCCATGCAAATTAAGGGAAACTGGTATGAAATCTAAATATTTCTATAGTCTCCCCCTCTTACATATTGTAATGAAAATACCTTAGTGTTTCAGATCGCTGCTGTGTTTTTTTTTTCCTATAATGTAGTGAAAACTGAGATGACATCAGATATCATTGCTCAAGTTTGAGAAATTTTAGTAAGTAAATAGAGACACATACATTTTTAAAAAGTCGAATCCTATACTCATTGAAATTGTGTTTATTAAGAAGTAAAGGAAAAGGGGAATCCAAAATGTCATAACTCCATTCATTCATCCTACAAATATATAGTGTACATAGAACACAATTTCCATATGCACTTTAATGCATCTTGCCAAATTTGATTAAATGTAAAAGTAACAGTGTAAGTAGCAACAATGAAAAAAATAATTAATTTGGAAAAATAAATTACCTTTATCAATGCACTCTAATAATTAGGATGTTTTCTTTTTCTCTCCCATTAAAAAATAAAAGTTGCCACTAAATGATTTCATGACCTAAAAACAAGTGGTTACCACAGTTTGGAAAACACTAACCTACAGATCTGTCTCTTTGATTGAACTGGGGGATTTTTTTTAAAGTTCTAGTGATGCCATTATAATAACCTGGTTATTATTTAACAGGAAAAGAACAAAGGGAAGACTAAATAATATATCCATGCCATTTATACAGCTTTGCCAAAAAGCTGCAGTTTAACACTCCACAGGTCTATTTCCTGCAAATCAACTGGGGGAGGGACTGGACAATAGATATGTGTCAGTGAGGTCTGGGTGACGTGGGAAGATGCTTATCCGTCAGTCACGCCTGGGGAGTAGTCAGTGGCCAGAACAGGCATGGGCCACTGCAAGGACGTGACATTGAGGTAGTTAATTCCTGATCAGAGAGCTCTCTCTTGGCTCTTGTGCTTTTGGCCTTCTTGCTCTTTTGGATCTCCTGTTGCAGGGGTGCACTCCCCTGCATTCACCCCCATGGCTCATGGCCATGTGGGGCACACACAGTGGACAGTGATCAGCCTAATGCTACACCAGACTCAGCTCTAACATGGAATAGAAACTCTGGGCATGGACCCTATTTTAAAAGCTCTACTAAACCCCAGCTGCACATTTTCCAAAACTGGACTAGAGGACCTGAAACTTTGCAAATAAAGAAACATAACTATATACAAATAAAAAACATATTCACCTGTGTGAACCTTAAAAAATTCATTTTCTAGAGATATCACAGAAACCCCACTCCCACTAGTGATAGAGGAATTCCACCCATCCAATCCTCCAGCAACACTAGCTGCTCAGGGGGATTTACTGTATCATTTAATATTGGAAAACTAAAGGTGTCTTTCTGGAACAAATTATGATATTATAATAGTAGTAAGAAAGAAATCCATGTGTATTATTGTCTGATATAACCAAAAAGAAGAAGAAAATACCTGAAATAAGGTGCTTTTTTATTATAAAATGCCTTAATTTTATGCCACTAAATCGCAAATCCATGTTTGGAATAATACTCTAAAGTTGTGATCTGCCAAGAAGAATAAGGTCATAAAATGTGATTCAGCATTTATATAGTGCAAGGAAAGTTAATTCTATTAAAGACTTTTCTCACCTATTAAAAAAAATCAATTCCCATCCATGTAAACAAAGCCTTTCAGAAAAATCATTCAGCTTCTGCCCTGTTTCTAAATCAACTGTTCCCTAAACTGAAGTATTCAAACCTTTTTGTTTGGTCTAGGTGAGCATTGCTTCCATTTTAGAATGACTTTTCTGCATCCCTACTACAGTGGAAAGTTGTACTCAGCAAATGTCACCTTTGTTTGTAATTCTACCTCCAAAGAGAATCTCTGTTTTATTTTTGTTTTGTCAACCTGTGAGTCCCATTTGGGTGTGTGAAGGGAAAGCAGCTTAGTCTCTCAGGCTGTCCTAGTGAAAGAGCAAAATGTGGAGCTTTGTAAACAACAGGCATTTGTTTCTCATAATTCTGGAGGCTGAAAGCCCAAGGTCATGGCAGTAGCATGGTGGAATCCTGGGGAAGCCTGTTCCCCGGGTTGCAGACTGGGGACTTGTTGCTGTGCCCTCAGCTGGTGGAAGGGGTTAGGGGCCTCTGTGGTGCCTCCTTTGTATGGGTACTAATCCCCTACATGAGAGCTCCCGCTCATGACCTAATAACCTCATGAATGCCCCACCCTCTAATTCCATCACCTGGGCATTAGGATGTCAATGAAGCTGAACCTTAAATAACATGGGTTTAAGCTCTGCAGGTTCACTTTTGTGTGGATTTTTATCTAGTAAATACTGTAAATGTGTCTTTATCTCCTTGTGATTTTTTAAAAATATATTTTATTGATTTTACACAGAGAGGAATTGAGAGGGATAGAGAGTTAGAAACATCAATGAGAAAGAAACATCGACCAGCTGCCTCTTGCACACCCCCTACCGGGGATGCGCCCGCAACCGAGGTACATGCCCTTGACCGGAATCGAACCTAGGACCTTTCAGTCCACAGGCTGAGGCTCTATCCACTGAGCCAAACCGGTTTCGGCTCCTTGTGATTTTTTAAAATAATATTTTATAACTTTATTATAAGACTATAGCATATAATACACAAACATACAAAATATGTGCATGTGTATACTATCAGTAAGGCTTCCAGTCCACATTAAGCTATTAACAGTTAAGTCTTTTGGGGAATCGAAAGTTATATGTGCTTTGTTGACTGCCTGGAGGGTTGGTGCCTTTAATCCACATGTTGTTCAAGGGCAAACTGTGTATGAACTTGGGAAACATAAACGTTCAGACCATAGCACAAAGGGTATATGTTTTCTTGGCATTTTGTGTAGTCAGGGTACTTGTGGTAAATACTAGCAAGTTCCAGTTTGATCTCAGTAAACGCATTTCCCTGGAACTGCTTATGGTGCTAAGCAATTAGAATCTCTCTTCTCTTGGTTTTATGAACATTTGAAATTGTAATTAGCACATTTTTATTTGAAGGAATTACTTCATTTTAACTTGCAAATTTTAGTGATAGCTTGTTCCATGAGGTTACTTTTTCATCAAGTAAAGAAAGAAAGATCTAGATTGTAATACTATTTTTTAATGTTTTAGCAATTTATTGAGAATGATTTTCAGTGATTTTAAACTACTGATATGCTTTGAAGATTTCTTAAATCAAATTTCCACAACTCAAAATTAAATAGTGTTTATTTAGGCATCACTTTATATGATTCAAGAGATTGGTTTTACAATGGTC